CCCGCCCCGCCCCGCACACCCTGCCACATCCCGCACACTTCCCGCACGCCCGACTCGGAACTCATTCGTCTTAATATACAACACCGAGGTGACCTTTACACTTGAAAACGTTCTGAGATGCAACACTGCAATACATACAAACTTAATGCATTCACTTCTTTACATAAGTGCAGGGTACCTACATTTGACTAGTTAAAGTATGTTTGTTTGTTAGTTATTTTAAGGTCAATCGCTGCCGTAATAAATCTGTGTCTTAAATGTGAAACTCGTTGCAGATACGTGCATGAAGTAACCTGTCTGCTAACTACATCGAGTAAACAAAATAATTGACAACAATTTTATTGCGCAGAGAGGTTTATAAATATCGTAAGGAGGACAAATAAATTCGATCAACGAATAGCTCGGGTTTCTAGAGTGCACCTATACCAATACAACAACAAACATATATGTACACAAACACACACACACACACAGGTCGCAGTCCACAAACATGCCGAGTGCCGGCATAAGTAAGGAATTGCTACATATCACTTAGTAAGCAAGTTACATTTAAAATGCAGATACGTTTAATTTAGTAGGTTTGACGTAATCACAAATTAACCTGAATTTATTCAGTGTGTTAGGATACGACTGTATTTATATGTATTTAACGTAACTGTTTAATGTATGATTTTTCAATATAGTAACGAAAAACAGAAAAATTCGTGGCTACTGAGGCTACAAAGCTACTAGTACTCGCATGTAACTATTTCCCCCGGAGTATCGTGCAACATTCACACAACTTGGAAGTACGTTTTAATTTTCGAGAGAATCTCCAGAAGCATATTACGTCGCAAACGTGAGAACATTTCGTTTACTCCGTCGTCACGCAAACTACAATTTGTGTCTTTAAGCAATGTATATGCGATTGAGCGCGGTGTGTCTGAGAACCCAGCTGGGGTTCCCAGCTCTGTTATGAGAATAATCTGTGCTGAGACTTGCCGCACGGTTTCTCTATGCGAGTGTCGCACACCACTGCTCCAACCGCGCGCCCTCTACATTTCACTCCGAGTTATTATACTTCTACGAGTGACCAGTCCGAAGTAATATTAAAGAATCCGTAGTGATATCATATAGGTACAGTGTTACTCGCTCGCCAACACTCGCAGCCGTATGTCCTCGCCACTTTCACTTGCGCGATCTAGATCGCCGGCCGCCGCACCGCCGCAACACGCGCAAGAATCTCCTTACAATCACGTCACCAATACTATTCTATGAATTTATTCTTACATAGTACACGATACGGCGCAGTGTCACATGCGAGGGCGCTGCTGCTGCTTGCGCTGGTTGCATCGCTGTTTCCCACACATTGTCTTATGCCTTCAGTCGCGCAATGTGTGTGTACAATGTGTACACAACTATTTCTTGCATAAGCTTACAAATTTCAAAGTGTTCCTCAGTTAATGAATATTAATATTCTGGTATAGTTATAGTTCTTGCAATCAGTCCTATTTCATGGAAGTACGTACTGTATTCATAGTTAAAAGGCAAAGAAATCAATTATAAAATAAACATTTTGTGATTCAAAAGTGTGGCGTCGTGTAATAACAGGTAATAATCGGATCATCAGATCAAATTTCCGCACGTGCATTTATGTAATGTAAGTATATAAATAACAAAGCGATGTCCGTGTCCCGCTCGTCCGCTCCCGCAATGAATGATACAAACATCGGCCTCGTCCGAGATGAGCGCCATTGTCCGCGCCGCCGCCGCAACAACGCATTATTGTCGTCACATCCAACAGTGGACTACATAAATATCTTGTAAATATTGAAATTTGTCAACTATAATACACTATTTGTTCGCAGTAGAATTATTTGGTTGCTAAGTTGATGTGTAGCATCGCGACTGCTACACGTTATAGTCGGTGACTTCGCCGAGCGCGTCGTGCTTACATTATTATGTACAAGAATCTTTCGCCACCGTTTCGTAGAATCAATTATGTACATAATCAATTGTGATTTGAAATAATATTGTTCTATACATAGTTAATGATTGATGTAATAAAATTGTGCAAGTCGCAAGTTTCGTGTCAGTGCGTCTGCATCCGGCAACAACTGACACCCCGCACCACTCGACGCTGGGGCGCAACGTCCTCACTTGCACAATTTGACACTCACTAACGATATTACACCAACTGTTGTTCACAAAAACTATATACATTTACGTCTAAAATATATAAGAAAAAACAATCCCGCAGTCGCGGAAGGAGTCGCGGGCGACAGTATATAAGAAATAACCATAAAGTCCTATTATCTGTTATAAAATAACAAATTTAGTCATCGCTTATCATTGACGTTCTGTGAATAAAGTACACCAGTCTCAGAAACCCGGAGTAACCCGCGATTTGTTATTTTTGTATCATCTTTACACTTGAAAACTTAACCCTAAATATGTCAACACAAAGCCACTCTAAAATTATTTTATTTTCCATGTATTGCCTTATATAAAACCATCTTAAAATAGAGAACATCTCGTGCCCCTCAAGAGTATGTGAATAGTGGCAGTAAACTATTATAGTAGTAAATAGTGACGTATTGTGATATTTATTTAAAGGCTGAATCGAGTGAAAAGTCGCGTCCTTTTTCACTCGACACGACCGACTCGTGACCTGAGCTGAAGTCGTCCACTTGAGATTTCATGCTCCTCTCTTTACTTTTGGATTATTTTAATAAGTTATCGTAAGGATAAACTTCTTATTTTTTAATAATTTTTATATTTCATATTATTTCCAGGCGGCGCGTTCGAGGGAGTGGAGGACCAGGTATCGCCGTTCGGGTACGGGCGCGGCGAGGGCGTGGACGCCGGCCACGGCGACCCCGAGTGGATCTGTAGCAAGGAGAAGCCGCACTACGACCAGATCTTCCACTCGCTCAACCCCATCGACGGCAAAGTGACCGGCGCGGGTACGCACGCTCTCTCTCTCACTCCCCACTCTCACACAGTGCCCCACCTGCACCTGCACCCGCACGACGCGGCGCTGCAGGCGCTGCTGGCCTCCGCAAGCAGCTGCTCCCGTCTGGCGGACCTCTGCAGCGCGCTGGCCGACAAAAATGAACAGAACGATCACTTCGATAAGGTCGTGCAAGTCTTGGGCGTCACCACGCAAAATTGCAACATCCTATCGCAGTTCTTGTACAGAGAACCCTCCGTCTGTGACGCCGGCGAAATGTCCTCCGCCGTGTCCATCCACACGCTGAACGAAACATTAGATTCCGAACACGAAGACAGTGTACACAAAAAAGAGAGCCACGACGATTCCGAGGAGGAAACGCCGGAAGACAGCGGCAGCGACGAGACCGCGGTGTCGCCGGCGGCGGCGCAACCGCTCGGCTCTTTCGCAGGAATCTCGCGCATGATAAAAATTATTTTCCTGATAATTCTAAACGTAATCATGGTGACGGTTACGGCGGAGCTGGTATTTCTCTGCGCGGTGTACGTAACCACCGGCGAGCTGTTCGTGGAGCTCCGCGTGCCCCGCGCCCCGCACGCGCACTCCCTCTATGATATTGCGAAGGCCGCCGTCTTCGGCGCACAAGAGGACGTCGTGCGCATTCGATCCATTTTCCAGCTCTTTAACCGCCAGAATATTTTGAATATTTTGCAATTGTTGACGCAGCCTCTGCGCTAAAGGTGATCGGGTACGGCTTTTATTCTCAAGCTATTACCTCAATCCTTCCATTGCAACGTTGTTACTTTGTACGCTACATTGACGGAGACTTGATAAGACGGAGAAAAGACAAGATTTCTCCGCGAGTTTATTTTGAAGTATGTTTGGAACTATCATCCTATCCTAGTGTTATCGTTCTGTTCATTTTTTACATACAATGCTCGTTTATTTCATATGTTCGCTTAATTACTACGCAAATATAGTATTTCTTCGTGGCGATGTGTCGCGTCGTCGTCGCTACGAATGGGCTTTAATAACAGATAACGGTAACTTTTCGACAGCGGCGAAGACGGAGATGGTGAAGTCGAAGCTGCCCAACTCTGTGCTCGGCAAGATCTGGAAGCTGTCGGACATCGACAAGGACGGGTTTCTGGACGAGGACGAGTTCGCGCTCGCCATGCATCTCATCCAAGTGAAGATCGACGGCCACGACCTGCCCGCTGAGCTGCCGCCGCACCTCGTGCCGCCCTCCAAGCGCAATTAGCGCCACTCGGGCGACACTAGCGCCACTCGGGCGACACTAGCGCCACTCGGGCGACACTAGCGACACTCGCGCCACACGTCAGCGCCGCCCACACCGCGGCACCCGTCACTAAGGATATGAGATTTTGTAATGTTTTCACTTTAAGGTCGATCGCAGCCGCTTTGATAGAGCTGCTTTTATTAGTAAATTTCATCACCGGAGAGTGCGGCGCCCGGTTATGAACACAAGTGTAATTGTTAAATCTATTTAATTCCTTTTTAGCGCGAATCAGAAACACGGAACATATTAAATGTTAAATTTTTACTATCAAAGATTCTATAGCCTAAGCCGTGAGAGCGTGCAGCCCGCGTCCTCCGCGCCCCGAGCCCCGAGCCCCGAGCCCCGCCGATTGCACCTGCCGCCCAACTGTGCAATTTTATTAAATGATTTAATTGAACAATTGTTTTATGATTGACTAAATGTAAACGCACAATTGTATAAGTTTTATGATGATGTGAAAAAGGAATATCAATATCATATTTAAGACGAGGTATGTGCGAGGTGGGGGTGGGGGGGGCTCTGCGCAGCTTGCGGCACGTCGCTAGCGTGTTGTGAGCGCTCGCACCACTCCTCGTGACCATTGATTCCGCGCTATAAAATAGTCTGGCGTATCTAAAGGCAGATAATCTACAGTTGTTTATATGTAGCTGTGGGATTCCACTGCAGTGACACATGTTTGCAACATGCATTACAACGGTGACTTGTGTGCAAGCGGGAGAGTGCGCTGCACACGCGGCGTTGTCTCCCGCGTGGGCAATACTTAGCTTTACGATTAATTTATTCCAAGAGTTTAAACGTTTGGTGCTCGCAGAGTTTTCATTATATTTGATGTAAATTTTTAGAGATGAGTTTACTTTTAAGTACATTATCATATTTTGCAATTAATATTGTTTGTTACATAAAATTTATTTATTTAAATACTTAACTTGTATCACGGATTCTAATACGCTACGTTTTATTTGTACAAAAATTGTTCCTATTAGAAAATTTGCCTGCGCTTTATATTCTCGAGACATGCCGGTCTGGCTCCGGTCTGCAATCCTTTCCTTCATTCTATAATAATATTTAACTCGCCTTTGTTGTGCATTATCGTGCATTTATCGAAGTAGCCCTCGTCGTTCAGTGCCTTCCGCAATTGATAACAAGCGTCTGGCTCCTGTGTAAATACCTTATTTTGTACGTGTTACAAGTTTTGGAACATGTCGTCGCGACATTTTTACATTTGCTACTATGTGTACATAAAATATGTAAATGTATTTATCATAAATTATACAGAGAGTGTAATAAATAGGTAAGAAAGCTGGCTGTTTTATTTTGGCTTCACCTTCAATGTTCGCAACTTGTCCTCTCTCTCTCTCGCGACCGACAAGTATTTCTGACCAGGTGGGCATAAGCCACACTAAATAATGACAGCTCACTAGCGCCTCCCTGTCAACGTCAAAATAAACCAAAATCAACAACATCCAAAGGGAAATAATAATGTTTGATATTTTTTGCATATGTACATTTATTAGAATCATCACAATGTTTAAAATAATAAGATTTCATGTCTCTGTAAGATATTTATGTTTATTAAAATATGACAATACATAAATGACAACAATGTCAAAACTTCTATATTGACAATAATAAGAAATGCAGAATATTCCAGCTATGAGAGTTGACATCACAGTGCTTTGCTGTACAGTACAGTATACATATGATTTAGACATTATTAACCATATACAGCACTAATGCTGGTAGTATTACCTTCAAATAAAATGTGTCAGGAAATATATTCCTTATTTGTGATATTAAAACTGTGGACCAAATTAATTTACCTAATGTAATATCTCACAAAACCCCAAAATAAAGATTTGAACATAACAATTATAATTATCATTAAACATATCCGAGCACCGACACAGGAAACAAAAGCAACTAAAAGATATGAAAACTGATTAAACAGAGATATAAAACATCACACACAGCTGCTGTGTGCAGCAAATGTAATGACAGGCAGCGGGTAACGAGGTTTTGCTTTGCAAATGAAATACATAACTCGGGATGGTGGATTTTTATATACATGCAACATGTATCAATAAGAGTGAGAAATGAAGGCCATCAGTCTCTTACACTCCGTCCACGCCAGCCAGATGCTCACTGAGCCGGGGGCTGCTGGTCCCCTGGGCCCGGTGGGCGAACCTGGCGCCTCAGCTGGTCCACCAGGTCAGGGTTGGCAGCCTGCATGTGCTGTGCCAGGGCCTGGCTCGCCTCCAATAGGACGTTCATTCCACCGGTGCTTGGAGATGAGCCCGTATTGTTCATTAAACCAGATATAAGGTTCTGCATGTTGGGATCGGAGAGCATCTCTGTTGCCATATTTAACAGTGCCGGGTTCTGTAATAAACCACCCAAGTCCAAAGAGTCTCGTTGACCAGCCTGATTCAGTTTTTCATCAGCCAAGCGCAAGTTTTCCTTGTAAGATTCGTTGTCGGGATCGAGCTGCGCAGCGCGGGCAAATGCGGCGCGCGCCTCGCGGTGCCTGTCCAGCGCCGCTAGCGCCAGCCCTAGCCGCCCGTGCGCCTTGCCGTAGTTCGGCTGCAGCACGAGGGCTTCCATGCAATCTGCTATCGCCGCTTCGTGTTCGCCGAGTTTAAAATGCGCGGCGGCGCGATTGCAGTAGAACACTTCGTTGCGAGGGTCGATTTTTATGGCTTTCGTATACTTGTCGAAAGCTTCGCGGTACTTTTCTGCTTTCATGCAATCGTTACCCTCATTTTTAAGTTTCTCGGCTTCTGCGCGGCTGGCGGCGTCTGTACCGCGCTGCTGCCTGATCAATTGCAGCAAATCTACGCCTTTGCTTAGTTCCTCTCGGCTCAGCTCGAAAGCGGTCTCTATACACTGCACGCCGACTTCTACGCTCTCTTTGGAATCACTGTTTAACGACTCGTCCTCTAGCTGCTGTCTCAAAAAGTTAACAATACTTGCTGCGACAATTTTTATGTCTGACATTTTGAGCAATTAAGGTATTAAGCAAATCCAAAAACAGAACGGTGTACTGCAATTGCAAGATGTCTTTAATTGGAACCTATCTCGATAATGACAACTGCGCAGAGACAAAACATGAAAATTGTCAACTTTTACAAGATGTCAGATAGTTCTCTAATTTTTTTTAATCCTGTCAATACAACACTTTCATACAGCCACTCAATTTTTGTCTGTTAATCGGTTTGTTTGTTTATCAGTATTAGGTGGTCCGTTCGTATTGATTGTTCGTATTTTATATACTCTTTAGTATTGATCGTTCGTATTTATAATACTCTTTAGTATTGATGGTTCGCCCTAATCTCAAAGGACTGAACAAATTTGCCAACGTTTTAAATAATAAAAAGTATAAGTTTAATTTTTCGGTAGGTTCCACTTATAATTTTAAGTACCCCGTTTCAGAGATTGCAATTTCCGATGTTAATTACACTCACATAAGCTTCAAATACAAAGAGTATATATATAAAACATATAAATTACATACGTGGAAAATAATCGCAATCTGTAGAAAACAAAAATGCGTTCATGATGAGTGCGAAAAAGTCAGAAAAAAGGAGTGCGTTTTTATATCCTATCAAAGATGTCAACTGAAATGTCATTGTCATTTTGACAAGTCAAAAGTCAAGCATGCGTCAGCGACATTGCTCACTG